GGGGGAGGAGAGAGAGAGAGAGAGAGAGAGAGAGAGAGAGAGAGAGAGAAGAGCCGAGAGTTCATGGCAACAAAGCCACGCTCGCCGCCAACCTCCGCCGACCAACCGGAAGCCGTTACTTGCGCTAACGAGTAAACCAACGGCTGCTCGTCGGACTTTGGTGGTATTATGCTGCGCGAGCAAATAAACTGGCGTGTTCGGCTAACTCCCTGGTTTCTGGTAAGCCCCTGCACACCGGCGCGACGGCTCTCGCTCGCTCGCTCGCTCGCCCGTTCGCTCTCTCGCTGTAAACCCCGGCTAACGTCCGCGTGATTGCAATATCCCGCGGCTTGCGGAGAATACCGGATGTAGCGATGTGTACGCGCGCGCATCTGTGTACACACGCTGAACCACTGCTGGACCACCGCGCGTGTGTGTGTGTGTATACGTGTGTGTATACGTGTGTGTATACGTGTGTGTATACGTGCGCGAGAGGTGGATGGATTAGAAGAGCGAGATCGAGCCCGCCCGTTAAGGTGCACGACAGGCCGAAAACTCATTGTCCACTGCTGTTACGTCCGCTGCGACGTATTACACCGAAAGTTAGATTAAATCAATTTTCCATCCCGCTTCGCGTAGCGTCGCGCAGCTTACGGTACCGCCGTGTCGCGTCAGCTAGTTTTCATCGCGGTCGCGAAACCAGTCGAAGCGCATCCCGCCGTCGTCTCTGCCCGCCCCGTTTGTCGCGCGACGACGTGAAAAGAATCGATAATGCGCCGTGTCTTTTGTTCCATCCGTCGCGCGCGCGTCGGTATTGTCGATTGGCGAGGCTCGGTGCGACGCGACGCTGCTGACAAATAGGTCAAACGCTGTAACAGCAGAAATTCGATACGGGGAACGGGAGAGAGAGGGTAGGGGAGGGAGGGAGGGATAGAGAGAGAGAGAGAGAGCGTGCCTCACAGTTGATCCGCCGTAATATCACCGGTGTGTGCATATACGCGAGCGTTCACGCTCTTCGAAAATATCGCCGCTCCAAATCGGGAAATCGATTGGATCCCGCGTCCGGATGGAATCGCGCGTAAAAGCGGAGAAAAACCGCTCTTCCTTCCCCCGCGCGCTCTCTTTCTCTCTGTCTCTCTCTCTCTCTCTCTCT